AAGCAGCATTTTAAGACTGTTACGATGATGTATGAATCATCCTGGTTGGCCGAGCTGGCTTGGGAACTATTCCTTGTAAGTAAATAATTTAGCGAACCCACAACCCCATTCAACGATCAATGTCGCCCTCACGCGTTGAGGTCGCAGGATATGAATGAGCTCACTATGGTCTGCCGCCTCAATGTAGTTTGAAGGTGACAGTGGGAGTCGTACACCAGTGTACAGCTGATTGTACACTCTGGTAGAGCTCCCAAGCTGCAACAGAGCTAGACATTTCCGGTTTCGATCCATGCATAGCTACAAGCAGGCCTTGCCGATGATCTAGCTGTAGTTAAGCTTCGCTGGCGGTCCTCACCTCAACTAAACTGCGTAGACCATCGCCCTATGGAAAAGAAAGGCATCACTTGCAAATCTGGTCTTTTCAAAACAAGTCTTTTACTCGTTCAATAAGAATAAAAGGAGAAAGAAATCTGCACCTCGGATCCCGTAAGCGACATGTGGATGGGACCTTTATCGTTCGTGGTGAAAAGATTCCGTCACGAATCGTCGGAGGCGTCTTTGTTGTCCACCCATCTATCGTCCATCTTGTCGATTCATGCTAATACCTCGACTAGACATCCTACGACTATACTTTTACGTCGAAAACCATCAACATTATCAACTGCTACTCCCCAAAAACAGCATCTGGCGAATCAATTCGTCCGCGACGAGAACATCTTCTACAAGTTTGCTGTGAGCGACTTCTGCGTAAAATGATGATCCCATCAAAAGAGGATTGTGGGCCATTATGAAGAAAGAACATCACCGGTGGACATGGGAATCGTCTAACGAAACGACTCACGCGGAGATCGACTACATTTTCACAAATAAGTGGAGCTTGCTCAAAGTGTCTTTGTAAGTCCATTTTCGGGGCTTCGATCACCCCCTTCTTTGAGCGGAGGTACGTTTCAGTCGGAAGCTGGAAAAGAAGATCTGCCACTATGCTGCAAGAAGGAAGGAAGTATTTTATGACGACAAGAAGCTAAAGCTATATTAACTTGATTAGCGACTGATTTATCAAGGAGGGACCCAACGCACGATTACTGACTGCTCTAAAAGGACTGCAAGTTTGCAAAGAGTGCGCTACGGTAATTTTCAAAAAGAATGAACGCATTTCGAAGCACACCAATAGATTACTCGAATGACAAAAATCCTCAAAGCAAAATCTGAGTGCAACTCATTTCGAACAACTGATAGCCAACGCCAGTTGTAGAACAGCTTGTAGGAGGATTTCAAGAAGTACAGGCAAGCCAATATAATAGAAGCAGTCAAAGGGGAACGAAGCCTTGAAAAGCGCCAAATAAGAAGGACTTTCTTAAATAATCAACTGTTGCTGGCTGCAGTTCTAAAAATGTGAGCCTGACTAATTCCCGATGTAATATGAAACTCACAGCGCAATGCTCTTTGTCACACAGGGAAAGTACCATCAAAGATTCTATCAACTGAGTACTTACGGCGATTTAAAGCATAAAGGCTTCTACCGCTCTGGGACCAATTCATTTTACGGACAACTTCTGCGAAACGAAAAGAACGACTACACAAGATTATCAGGCCACATCTGGCATCTTATCTGAAGGAAAAAATCTCTGACCTGTAAAGAATTTCGAGAACCGTCATACTTTTGGAGAAGGGCGAAAAGATCTCAAAACTACCGTTCATTATGCCTACTGAGTGCTGTACAAGCTTTTCACCAAGATTATCCTCGCTCACGTGACAAGGACACTGGATAAAGCGCAGCTCAAGGAACAAGCTGATTTGGCTGAATGGACCACTTATAAACTATTTCGATGGTCATAGAAGTTAGAAGGCTTTTGACAATGGCGATGACACCTATACCCCTTCCCCGCCTCTCACCGTCTCGGAAGGGTGTCCAATGAGGCGACACTTTTCGACAAAACTATAGCAGCCTTGCAGTACCTAGTGGAATCACCGGACTTGTACGAGGGAAGCATACGACTTGGCAAGAAATGCCTGTCGAACCTTCGTTTTGCGAACGACCGTACTCTCTTCAAGGAGTGTTACTGAAGGAGAAGCGATGCTGAGGTAATAAACGTAGTAGAGAGGAAGACGGAGTGCGGATAATCGAGAGAATATTGTTCACGAAAAACGCTTTTTGTGAAGATATCTTCAGCGATAAGACTGAAAACTTATTACGGAGAACTTTTCCTACATCTACCTTGAACGATTGCTGAACTTGGAGAACGACTTGAGGGAAATAAAAGGGGAGATGAACAGCAGCCTATGCCGCCTTCGGGCCTTTGAAGGAGGAGAATGTTTTGTCTTTGTGGCCTAACGGATACTCCGCAAAAGCAAAACATCGATGGACCGGTTACATCTTGAGAAAAATGACAGATCGACTTAAAGGGCATCTGTGTGGATTTCTCGCAAAGCCTAACGTCCCGCGGAAGACTACCAACGAGGTGGGCAAACTTGTTTATGGAAACGGGTGGACCAGTCAATCCTATGTCCTTTTTTTGCACTTGAAACTCGTAAAGCCAGCTACCAACAACCACCGAGAAGATTTGAATATCAGATATGAACTGCTGTGCTGGGACCCACAACGGCGTGAAGATGGGCGACCTAATCTAAAAAGTTAAGGAAGGTGGATCGAAGTGGCCCTTCAGAATGAGATGGGTATCATCGTATAGGGCTTCGAACGCTAATTTCAAATCTGCCTTCCTCTGCGGCGCGTTTTTGGGCGAGGACTTATGAGGGTTTAGGGGCCAAAAGTCGATACACGTACAATCAAAACAAAGCACACCGTTGTGTGCAGTCTGTGTAATGGTTAGTGTGGTGGTCTTCAGGGAGAGGTTCCCAGGTTCGAATCTCCTAGTGTGATTTTTCTTTTGCTGGACATACAAAAATTTGTATGAGCACGCGTATCGTCTATACATCAACCCTTCCTTCTTTTAACTGCAAATCTCTTCAAAACATCTCTTCTGTTTTATTACTCTATGTTTTCAAACGTCTATGTGCACTGATGAAAGGAGAGGACAAAATGCGCAAAACATACCTACGGGAGGGCGGGCGTTTCAAAATCTCTCGAATGTGCATCAAGGTAGCCGCTGGCAGGAATACCAGGAATAAGCCAAAAAGCAGGCGAGAACATCTTGTAGGTTAATGAGTTTTTGATTGCGTAGCTTGTGCGTGCGTTTTCTCAGCTTTACCAACTATGAACGTGGGTCTTCACATGTTGTGAACATTGAGACCTCTTACGTTCACCGGGGTCTTACTGACAAATCGATTCTTTTGACATTTCTACCTCCACACTAAATCACTTGCAAAGACCTTCAGAGAGAGCAGTTGTTGCCTCGAGATTCTGATAAAAGAAGCAGGGAGTGGTGTGTGGACGATGTTCATGCTCATACAAATTTTTGTAGACCAGCAAAACGGAAATCACAGCAGGAGATTCGAACCTGGGAGCTTCTGCCTGCAAGACCACCACACTAACCACCTACACCAGATGGCGCACAGCGGTGTGCTGTCCTTGGTTGTACTTTTATCAAATTCCGCCCTTCTAAAAACCCTCATAACTCCTCGCCCAAAAACGCGCCGCAGATAAGGAAGGCAGATTTGAAATCACCGTTCGAAGCCCCACAAGATGATATTCATATTATTCTGAAAGGCCACTTCGACTTGCCTTCTTTCCCTTGTAAGTAAGTAAGTATCATACCAGAACTTTGGAAAAAGCATGGCGGCAGCGTCTCTCAAAGCAAGTATTTTCGCTGATTTTGATTTTTGAAATTTTCAAAATAATCTTATTATCTGAAGTACAAGGTGCGTTAAAATTACCTCCCCCCAACTTTAAACAGTGCCACGAAAAAACCACTGAGAAACACAAGTTTTGTGACGCTGATCAATCACTAAAAATAAGTTTTACAATTAAAAAAACCTTTTTTCCGAGAACGTAAAAATCAAAAGAATCAGATCAGCGATTACAAAAAAAGCAAAAACAGAGTATCTATACTTTTATAACTTGCTCTGTAATTGATTAAACTCAAAACCTTTCTAGACCTTTTCAAGCAAAACTGTAGACCAAAATTTGATTTACACAGGCTTAGTTACTTTAGCAGATTTTTCCTTTACGAAATAGGAAAACGTACTTGCAAAAAATACCTGCGTACGAGCAATGACTATAAGGAAAAAAATCGATTGTGTCCCAGACTTGCAAAACCTTCCAGGTTAAAAAGGTTGTCTATTTATGAGACATGTAGAAAAGTGTCTATCGTGACCGATCAATTAGAATGCTTTCGAGTCTGATTTGAAAGACATTCTCAGATCCTAAAGCGCACTCGGGGTCTCAATCGAAATCAAATACCGTTTTCGAATTGATCTTTGAATTTCCATACCTAACAGTATTAATAGCGAAGGCTTGCTTAATTCCGGCGCAAAGACATCTTGCGTACAGAGACCACTCCAAATAACGTAAAGAATTGGGTTTTTGAAAGATAAAGCAGCCAATTTCTAATTTGACTATTGCCTTACGATAATGATGGTTGGTGAAAGCAAATGCATACTTGATCTGTTCTCAAGCCCGCCTAGTATCTTTCTGGCACCAAAAGAGACATGCGTTGGTAATTTTGGCGCATCCTGTGAACATACAAGTCTTCCACATTTCAAAAACCATGTAAAGAACTTTCAGAAATGTCAGAAACACTTCTCAGCCCCCCCCCTTTCCGAATCGCCACCGTCAGACTCAACATTGCTTATTTCGAGCAGCAGAGAAACCAGCATATACTTAAAGACTGTAATTTTTAGCCAAAAACCACTCATATTTTAGCGTGGAGGCGCTTGCAGATGACGAAAACAGATCTGAAGTAAGCATTCGAAGCATTCCGAAATATTCAAGAAAAAATTGAAGATTACTTTGACTATTACACTTCTCTTGTCTAACCTAATGCTAAAAAAGTGCTTGATAGATTAACTACCTTTTTGGGATCGCGGTACAATTTTATGCTCACCTCGGAAATAAGAGAGCCGAATGGCGAATATGCATTTCTGATATGCTGAAAAAATACTAAGCAGGCATATATGATGAAAAATGTCTTTTCTATAGTTCTTTAAGAAACGGTCAACTGCATTTGACACCACGACAACAAAGCAAGACACTAAATATAGTCATTTTGAAAGTTGATTTAATTTTTGTAAAACCTATCAGGGCAGCAGTTGTCGATTTCACCATTCTTGAGCATAGCAATCCCATCGCAGCCGCACCGATGCAAAGCAATAGCGTTGGGAATATCACATCAAGCGTGACACTTTGCTAAACTTATTTAAACATTTTGCTCAATGAGGACTCAACTATAAGAGTTACATGCAAATTCCAGATCGGGCCTCCAGCAACAGCTACAGCAAATACTGCTTTGAAAGATGCAAAGATAACACTTGACAAAGCAAGTGTTTCCCTTCTAAGTCCCATGACTACGAGAAATTCCTTCAAATGTCAAATTAGACATATCACAGTGATAATCACAACCTTTATTCCATTTTCTTCTTCTGAGGCGTTTGTGAGTGCAGTAAACACCAGAATGGGATAAAGTACCACATCGAAATCTGTGCACGTTGGATTTCTTCTTTTTAAAGCTTCGAAACATAAACGAAAATGTACTTTTTTTACAAAACAAAAACTTTGTTGCGATGTACGATTTTAGTCATTGAAGGCAGCGTCCGAGTAAAATCTCGAGCCCTATGCTTTCAGGATTTCTGGCCCTCTCGATGTTCCTAATTACAAATCCGTACTGAAAATTGCGCGAATCTTCGAAACCCTTGTTGTGGAACCCATTTTTGAAAAGCGCACGTCTATTCCATTGCTAATTTGTTGCGGTCAAGTAAAGTATGCATCATAGACGGCTATACCTTCCAGGTGCAACGTAAAAATAGAGCGCGTAATTTGTAAGCTCGTTAGTACAGGTGTCAGGGGAGCGAAAGGTGAAAAGGGATCGGCCTTAACGAGTTCACCTAACTTTCAGAGTTTACATTTTCGGAGAGGATTTGCTGTTTTGGCTTAGTCTTTGGGGGCCTCTATCGGACAATGCCAACATTTGAGGTAGGTCAAGCTTGCCACGACGCTGCCTTCAAGTGTTGACGAGTCTATATTGCAGAAGTATTAGGGCCTCACGTAGTTTGAGGTATGACCGTTTTTTTGAGTTAAAAGCTTTGGTCTACAAAACCAAGTTGCTTGAGAATTCAGCAGCGCGATACAGGATGCAATTAAACGAGATTGTGGGATGTTACATGTTGATGCTTGACATACTTCAAACTTCCGGAATATTTTTAGGACATTGGGGGTTTTATCGCGTTCTAGTGGTTGACATGAAAACATTTGAACTTGTCAGAACTGGTGTGGCAACTGTAAGTGCGAATTTTGCCTTAGGCTTTATAATTTTTCTACCTATATAGGACCGAGCATATATCACGCGATTTCATCGCCCCGACACTTTCGGCAGTTTTGGAAGATGCACGATATGTGGAGCAACTCGGGGTGGAGTTTGCCATTTTGGACTAACTTTATTTTCTCGCTTTCTATGTATGTGCAAAAAAATCCAGTAAGGGCATTTTTGAGTGCTACCAAGGGTCTACTATATGATGACCAGGTCCGCAGGATTTTTTTTTGCAAGCATCAAATTTTTAAATGGTGAATTTTTCTTCGATGTTGGCTCTAAACTTTGCGTGCATTTTGACTAGGGAAGGGTTTTGAAGAGCTTGCTTCGCTTTATCGAATAATACCCTAAGTCTGCTAGGTAAACAAAAACAGCTTGATTTATAAAAAAAGGAGTTTGTTTATGAGAAACCCCTAATAGTTACAATTGACTTGAGGACATTACTTTGTTGCTGCGGTACGTATTTCTCAAGCATTTTCATCAAACTCAAACCATTTTTATTTATGGTTCTTTTTATTTTGTTGATTCTCAACTGCATCATCATATTTAGAGTACTAATGTAACGCATTGATTATAATCTTAATTAACATAGCTTACATGATTGCATGCCTACAAACATTCTTCGAATTTTAGCACATTCTTCAAACTGGATTTCAGCAGGAATGTAATCAAAGCCGATATCAAAACTCTGCAATGGTTTATTTCAAGAATTGGTGAACAACTCGTGTACTCACAAGGGAAGGAAGGTTGGTCGAAGTGGCTTTTTGAAATGAGTTGTAAACTGCCTTGTAGAGCTTGGAACGCTAATTCCAAATCTACCTTTGCTACCTGCTGCGGACTTCTGGGCAAGGAGTTATGAAGGTTTTTGTGAGTAAAAATCTGAATGTAAAAATAGGGTAAAAGCAGTCGTAACCTTTTCCCAATGTTCAAATGAGGCAGCAGCGACCTGGTATATTTGAATCAAGAATATTTGTTGCACCGAGTGACCCGACTACCAATTAAGCCCTATAAAAAATGTTGCAGCTGATTTAGCTTACTCTTGCATTCAAATTTTTACTCACAAAAACCTTCATAACTCCTCGCCCAGAAACCCGCAGCAGATAGCAAAGCTAAATCTGGAATCACCGTTCCAAGCCCTACAAGGATGTATACTATACTTGGGTAATTCGACAATTTTTCATCGAATGAATGAATATCGAATAAATTCAAAAGTAAAAAATCTCGAATAAACGAATATCGAATAAATTCGGAAAATCAAAAATATCGAATGAATGAATTTCGAAAAAATTCGGAAAATCAAAAATATCGAATGAATGAATATCGAATATATTCGAACATTGGAAGTCGAATTTCGAATAAATATTCGAATAATTTATCGAATAACTAAAGCAATCACATCTCAAACTTGCCGACATATCTGGCTAAAGCCGATCCAATCATAATCAGCCCCCTAGTATCCTCTATACCAACTCCTAGCTCAAAATTTTCCAAAAATTGCTGAAATCAATAAAATAGATTTCGGTCTCAATCAGCACCCTCACTTACCCCTTTGTACCAACTCCCAACCTCGTAGCTCAAGATTTTCCAAAAATCGATAAAATCAATTAAGTATTAGGTTGTAACAGAATTAATGCAGGTTTTGAATTCCAACCGCAATAATTCATACACTTCTCATTTCGAAGTGGGTTGCAAAATACCATTCGATAGAGCAAAGCAATCTCTACAAGGTGGCAATCTTGCTTTAGCAACAACTCTGATCCACCACGAGTTTCGAGCCAAAAACTAAAAAGATTCAACTGTCTGAAAAAGCGAGAAAAATCGTAACTCAATTCATAAAAAACCTACAAAAATTCTAACTTGCTCACGTAAACACTATTTACATGAGACATCTATACATGCCTTGGCCGTATTTTTTTCTCTGTTAAAACTCAAGAGAACGGAAATTTTCGTGCGTTTGCCAAAGTGAGGCTGTGCCGTTCCCACATAAGTAGTTGAATACTACGAATCTGTACAAATATAAAGGTGAGTTTTCAGCTCCCTACAAGCTTTAGTTCTGGGAAAATATCGAATACAGTTTCCGCTAGTCATGTGGTCCAAGCTAAAATTCAAATTTCTCGAGAACTAAAACATGTAGAGAGCTGAAAAGTTACGTTTGCACTTCTACAGCTTTGTAGTATACAACTACTTATGTGGGAACGGCATAGCAACACTTTGGCAAATGCACGAAAATTTCCGTTTACTTGATTTCTAACAGAGAAAAAAATACGGCAAAGGCGTGTATAGATGTCTTATATGAATAGTGTTTACGTGAGCAAGTTAGAATTTCTATAGGTTTTTTATGAACTGAGTTACGATTTTTCTCAATTTTTCGGACAGTTGAATCTTTTTAGTTTTTGGCTCGAAACCCGAGGTGGATCAGAGTTGTTACTAAAGCAAGATTGCCACCTTGTAGAGATTGCTTTGCTCTATCGAAAGGTATTTTGCAACCTACTTAGAAATGAGAAGCGTATGACTTATTGCGGTTGGAATTTAAAACCTGCATTAATTTTGTTACAACCTAATAAATTTTTGTTCATAATCAGCACCCTCACTTACCCCCTTGTACCAACTCCCAACCTCGTAGCTCAAGGTTTTTTTGTTTATCGGAGACTTTCGTCTTGTGTGGTATAAACTAGTCGTGGACGAAGACATGTGGTTTCCTCCGCGAAGCGAGCACGAATGCCCCTATAACCCCGGGCATACTGCAGGCATTTCAGTGGCGACGTGGTATGGCAACGCTCAAATTGTCCAAAACTATTCTGAAAGTACAGATGCAGGGCATTCGTCATTTTAGTATGTTGTACACGCTAAACGTTTGTGGTAAGCTGCCATAACATCTGAAGACATCTCGTAACTGGCAAATCGGTACGGCGATCTAAACCGTCTAATCCTGCACTACAACTGCGATGTCCTTTACTCAGTATACACCAATTCGCAAAAAACTCCAAAGTAACGATTAGGCAGTTTTGCAATAATTTATGCGAGCAAGAGTGCTCACTACTGTAGGCTTTGCGTACCGCAAGCATGAGCATGCAAAGAAGGAAGAACAGCCATTTCAATTCAGTATGAACTCAGAACATTTGATACCTTCTTTGCTGATTTGGTGCCAATACAGTGCGAACAATCTCATTGATAGAAAAACCATCAATTAAAATCCATATCTGATTTTTTTACTGTCGCAAGCAGTCGGAAGAATGCGACTCTCCATACCGTTCAAAGGTATACCGGTTGCAAAAGACGCATTACCGAGTTTTGCGAAAAAAACGCGGACGAAGTGAGCTTGATACTTAGCAGTTGGCTCTGCAACAAAGTCGAATAATCTGAATACGGAGTACATTCGAATACGATTTCGAATAAACATTCGAATAAAACAGTCGAATAAAATCTATTCGAAACCCCGTTTTTTGATTATTCGAGTTTTCGAATGTCATTCGAAAATGGAAGAACTCCGAATATCAAATTTCGAATACGAATATATTCGAATGTTTTATTCGAATGATCGAATTTCTATTCGATTCGGACCCAAGTATAATGTATACATCTCATTTGAAAAGGCCGCTTCGACCAACCTTCCTTTCCTTGTCAGACAATGTCAGCGGACGAGCCATGACCCTTAACTCACTACACTGGGCTACCTACGGGAACCGGTCACGCGGGTCAGGCGGAGAATCACTGTAACAAAATGAATCCTCTTGATCAACCGCTGTAGCGCGACCCAACTGCGGTCTTTGGTGCAATAAGTCTAGAATACAGTAAGCGAGCGGTGACCCTTGACTCATGCTGCTGCCGACTCGAGGCCTAATTTACTGTAGCGGTCCATACTCCGGCCGGCCCGCGGGAGCTGCGAACACTCAGATGTTTTAGGTTGTCCGGAAATTAAGCAGGTTTTGAATTCCAACCGCAATAAGTCAGACACTTCCATTTCTAAATAGGTTGCGAAACATCATTCGATAGAACAAAGCAAGCTCTATAAGATAGCTAGCTTGCTTCAGCGACAGCTCTGATCCACCACGAGTTTCGAGCGAAAAACTGAAGAGATTTAACTGCCCAAAAAATTGAGAAAAATCGTAACTCAGTTCATGAAAATCCTACAAAAATTCTGACTCGCTCACGTAAGACAACCCACAAATGGCATCTATATACGCCTTTGCCGTATTTTTTTCTCTTTTAGAAATCATGAGAACGAAAATCTTCGTGCATTTGCCAAAATGGTGCTGTGCCGTTTCCACATAAGTAGATGTGTACTACGAAAAAGTAGAAGTACAAACGTAAAATTCAGCTCTCTACCAGCTCTAGTTCTCAAGAAATATCGGATATAGCTTTCAGTAGTCAGCTGGTCCAAGCTAAAATTCAAATTTCTCGAGAACTAAAGCTTGTAGAAAGCTGAAAACTTACGTTTGTACTTCTACAGCTTTAGTAAACAACGACTTATATGGGAACGGCACAGCATCACTTTGGCAAATGCACGAAAATCTTCGTATTCTTGATTTCTAACAAAGAAAAACGTACGGCAACGGCGTATATAGATGCCATATGTGGATTGTGTTTACGTGAGCGAGTTAGAATTTTTGTAGGATTATGAACTGAGTTACGATTTTCCTAAATTTTTCGGGCAATCTTTTTAGTTTTTGGCTCGAAACTCGCGGATCAGAATTGGTGCTAAAGCAAGATTGCCATCTTGTAGAGCTTGCTTTGCTCTATCGACTGATAACCTATTTAAAAATGAGAAGTGTCTGACTTATTGCGACTGGGATTCAAAACCTGCATTAATTTTCGGATAACAATAGTTAGCCCGGTGTAAATTTAGAGCCTTTGCCGGTTCCGCTCCCAATTTTCGAATAAGTGCCTCACTTTATTATTTGCGGCGATTAAAAGGCACACCTGAACCAGTGGTACGTTATAACTTCCAAAGCTTGTCATTCTAGAAAAGATGTACGTGACATAAACCTTCTTTACATTTTGTGCTCGGTATGAATGATAATAACCTACATCTCAGATCTCGACAATGACGACCTCGTATTCCATATAATGTTCCTATTATTGTTTTTGGAATTCTCAGAAAAGAAAACAGCTTAGAGAAACTTACTCCATATGCTCTATTGGGTTCTCCATCTCTTCTTCATTTGTGTGAATTACAAAGGAAAGTTTCTTTCCATCAAATGACGTGAAAGTTATGCCGATATTTCTAGGTAGCGTACTTAGCCGACATTTCTCGAATACTTTCAGCCTACTGTTTTCGCGACTCCATTTCTTCAAGCAGCTCCTTCTCGGTTGTGTAAGGACGCTTGTTCTTCTAAAACCAAAATTCAAAAAATTGAGTTTGCGTAGGTTGTTACATAAGTCTCGTTGCAGATTTTCTACCACAACACACATTTTCGATATGGCCTCAGGGTACCACTTGATAAAACAAAGCAAGCTCTACAATAAGGCTTGTAAAATTTGCACTAAACTTTCATCCACCTTAAGTTTTAAGTGAAGATCTGAAAAATTCTTAATGCACAAAAATTGAAAAAAGTTTATGTCCCAAAAATCTTACAGATTTCTCACTACCTTGATACGACCAATTTTTCATGCTTCCGCTAAAGCCGTATGTTGTTTCCACATAAATATGTATCAAACAAATTCAAGAATAGAATCGTATGTTTTCGAACGTTTACAAGCCCTAGATTTGGGATATATTGATTTTATTAGGTTGGCTTGAAAGTTCTCTGACATTTTTAGACTAAGGCCCGTATGCACGTACATCTCCGCTGGGGAGGGGAGGGGATCTGAGAGGGGATCCGTCATAACTCGCTAGTCTACGTATCTTTCTTCTTCTTTCTCTATCTTGCTTATGAAGTTTTTCATACACTCATACCTGCCCATAAGGGATGCCAGGTTCCTTCCATACAAGAATGGTTTTTTGCCATTTTGTGCGATCCCCTGCGGATCCCCAGGGGATCCCCAGGGGATTAGCGCTCATTTTCAAAGTGATATATTTTCCTGAGAAGTCAATGAAAACACCGCAAAATTGTACTCAGGATATAATACGGCACTGCTAAGAATGTTTTCAACAGGGGAAATGGAATCTGAAGATTATGAATATTTCGATGATCCTTAGCTTTCGAGCCAGGGATTAGCGAAGATTTCGACATCCTGAGATTTTATATATTTCTACTATAAACATCTTTAGCAATGCCGTAGTATATCCACAGTACAATTTTACAGCGTTTTCATTGAGTTTTCAGGAAGATAAATGGCACTGAAATTGAGAAGTGATCCCCTGGAGATCCCCAGGGGATCTCCAGGGGATCACACAAAATAGTAAAAATCTAATCAATTATGCCAGTAAACTGGCATCACTTATGCGCATATATTAGCGTATGAGAAACTTCATAAACAAGATAGAAAAGGAAGAAGAAAGATACCTTGAGTAGCGAGATATGACGCATCCCCTCTCAGATCCCCTCCCCTCCTCAGGGGGGATGTACAATATCGCTCATAATTCGTCAAAAAAGTCGCCGGACTGTGGCGCACTCCGCCACACTCCGCCACAGTGCGCCGGAGTGTGGCAGAGTGCGCCGGAGTGTGGCAGAGTGCGGCGGAGTGCGGCAGAGTGCGCCACACTCCGCCGCAGTGCGCCGGAATGATCGTCAATTTAGCCATATCTCACTTCAGAATGGATGAATTCTGAATCCGAGGACACCGTTCGATTCAGCTCGACGAGACGCATCATCTTATATATGAAGCTGAACGTCTGTTTGTCTGTTTGTCTGTACGTATGTTCCGAATAGAAAAATCCATTTCTGAACTGATCCGGACCAAACTTGGCACACATACACTTCGGGCCCCGGCGGGTGTCATGGGCTACTTTTCGTCATCGATCGATATCGATTTTATCGATTTTTTTGCAAAGTTTGAGCTACGGGGCTGGGAGTTTGCACAGGGGGTAATCGAGCATGGGGATTCCGAATACACTATTAGTTTTAAGAATTATCGATTACTTTTATCGATTTTATCGATTTTTTTGCAAAGTCTGAGCTACGGGGTGAGTGTTTGCACAGGGGGGTAATCGAGCATGGGGATTCCGAATACATTAGTTTTCAGAATTATCGATTATTATCTTGGTTGAATTCACTGTGCTGATAACAGTATTAGCATTGATCTGTCGCTGATGACACATAGACAGTATACTATAGGAGTATGGTAGAGAGCCACTCTGATCGAATTTGTTCTAAGATCTGCTCAAGATCACAATACCGCGCACAGAATGTCAAAATTTCCGTGAACTTCGCGGAATTCGGATTTCCGCCAAAGTGCGCCATAATCCGGGACATTTCTGGATCCGCGAAACCATGCGAATCACACAGAGTAAGCAACGCCATAACTTCCTTCGGAATGAATATATTCCGAATCCAGAAGCAGCATTGCGTTCAGATCGTCGAGGCAAATATTTTGATATACAGTATGCTCTCGATATTCCATTTCCAGTTTTTTTCGAATTCTTTCTGTGGAGGTCTTTTCGCAAGGATGTAACGCAGCGTCTGTGTAACATAAAAGATTCCAGTGAGCACTGTTCGATAGTACTGTCCTTGTAGGTTATCGTGCGTTCAAGAGTAGCTGCAGGCTGTCCCCCAAAAGAGATAGAAGCGTTGGTGAATTTTCGAAAAATCACGCGTTTCTAAATTCTACTCGCCGTAACTTCCTTCGGAATGAACATATTCTGAATCCGAAAAAAGCTTTGTGCTCAGTTCATCAAGGCAAGTCTTTCGATATACAGCATATCCTTGATATTCCGATTTCGATATTCTCAAATCTTTCTGTAGACGTCTTTTCGTGAAGATGTAAAGCAGCGCGCATTGCCCCTAGTAGATTACAGCAAGGACCTTTCGATAGTACTTTTTCTGTAGATTACGCAGCGCTAAAAAGTAGTCACAGGCGTCTTTCCATAGGAGTTAGAAGGGCTGGTGAATTCTGGAAAAATCATGTCTCCTAAATTTTTCTCAACGTAACTCTGAAATATGAAGCTCTCTTGCTAAGCAGATGTGATTTTCGTAATCAGCAGGTCGGATAACCCTTATGAGCAAGTTTTCCGAGATGTTCGGGTTATTTCATTTTTTCTCGTTTTACGCTCTGGAAGCTCGCCGATGGATTTTGGTCAAAATGTTCATGCTCTTAAATTGTAAGAAAACTTCGCTTATGAAGGCTTTCGAACACGCTCTTTACGAAAATCGTGGTCTTTGAGGATTACAGGGTCTTCTTGGAGAGATACGGTGAGGTGACTGTAACTGCATCACGAAAGCTCGTAAACTTCGCCTCCACCTCTCACGTGTCTGTCAAAGAACCTGCCTGCTTGCTTCACTAGTCAGTACTCTGCGTTGATACCACTGCTT